GGGAGTGTGGCAGGGCATTCCTAGCACTATAATCACTACAGTGGTCTGCAGTGTTTATGGTACTTGTATTGTTTGTTTAATGAACCTGATGTCCTTCCTATATCAATGCTATCTGCATCATATAGGAAAAACTCTCTTTTTGGAATATTTGCTTTGTCTATTCCCATAGGATATTATCATCTACCTATCAGAACTTTATCAATCCACTTGAAGACTGCAAAAGTAAGTGATTAATTCTACTGTGGAATATCCTGCTTTATTTTAATAGTTTGCAAAGGTACATTTGGCTTCCATGTTTCTTGGCTACAAAAGAGTAGTTTGATAGATCCTGATTACATGGGCGCTGAAGTTGTTATGGTACCAGAAGGCCCCCCCAAAACACTCTTACCTGAAGAGGTTCATCCTTTCATGTTTAAAGGGACACTATAGTGACCTGAACAACTTTAGCTTAATGAAGCAGTTTTGGTGTATAGAACATGCCCCTGCAGCCTCACTGCTCAATCCTCTGCCTTTTAGGAGTTAAATCCCTTTGTTAAAACACTTCTTGTAAAGAGAGCCCTATTTAGGCTTTCTTTATTGCAAGTTCTGTTTAATTAAGATTTTCTTATCCCCTGCTATGGTTATAGCTTGCTAGACCCTGCAAGAGCCTCCTGTATGTGATTAAAGTTCAATTTAGAGATTGAGATAAAATTATTTAAGGTAAATTACATCTGTTTGAAAATGAAACCAGTTTTTTTTTTTCATGCAGGCTCAGTCAATCATAGCCAGGGGAGGTGTGGCTAGGGCTGCATAAACAGAAACAAAGTGATTTAACTCCAAAATGACAGTGGATTGAGCAGTGAAATTGCAGGGGAATGATCTATGCACTAAAACTGCTTCATTTAGCTAAAGTAATTTAGGTTACTATAGTGTTCCTTTAATCTGAAAGTTGCCTTCAGCTCAGTTCTCAACTTCCCCCCAGGAGGCATCCGGCTTTTGGAATTTTAGTTTCAGGAAGTATGGAGTGCCGCCGGGTAGAGATGCGGCTGAATCGCTGAGAGCGGTCAGCTGACGCTCTCAGCCAACCAGTGACACCCCTGTGCGAAAACCATACAAGTACCCTGTTCGGTACTTATCTCCCGAACGCCGTTCGTGTAGGTGCTTGGGAGCAGGAATGGGCAGCAGTCGACAGTTTACTGTTGTTCGTGCCATTGCCAAGCCGAAAATAGTTCCAGGCACTCGACGACCAAGTACCGCTGCCCTCGTTCGGGAGATAAGATAGCCGCCATTCTCCCAGCCAAGTGTTCGGTTATACGAAATGGCGGCCACCAAGGAGAAGCACTCATTGATTGTTTCCCTTGCGGTTTCGCACTTAAGTGGTTGGTGTTAATATTCTAATGGGGTACAGGGGTGGTCTTTGTTTGGGAGACAAATGGATTCTGTTCGTATGAAGTCTCCCGAACGGCCAAAGCAAAACCACATGAAATAACTGGGGCAAAACACACGAAATAGCAAGGAAGCAGATACGGACAGCCAGTAGGGGAAGAAAAGGTAGCTTTCAGATGTCCATTCCGCTACACTGCTCCCTCGTAACCACAAGCTGGCATATAGAGTTTGATCCTCCAAGGATCGGCTTGGGGATGTCGGGGGGTGCTCACGGTTCATTTATCTAATTATGTCTGTCTAAAAACCTGTCAGCATTTCCGTTTTGTTTCCTGGGGCGGTAATGGATTGTGAAGTGAAAAGGCTGCAGTGCCAAACTCCAGCACAGCAGCCTGGCGTTATCCCTTGCCACCTGGTTCAACCAGACCAAAAGGTTGTGATCCGTGAGCAATGAGAAAGGCTGTCCGTATAAATAGGGTCGCAATTTTTTCAGAGCCCACACCACGGCCAGGCATTCCTTCCTGATGGCGGCGTAGCGTACTTCTCCAGGTAACAGCTTGCGACTGATGTAAGCCACGGGATGTTCTTTGCCATAGGGCCCGACTTGGCTCAATATTGCTCCCAATCCACATAGAAGCGTCTGTATGGACGAGAAAGCAAAGGATTGGGGGCGACCAAGACAGGGGCATTTACAAGTGCATGATTCAACTGCTAGAATGCCTGCTAACACTCCAGGATCCAGACTATTGGCTGGGAAGGTTTTTATGGGTAAGGTTGGTAAGGGGTTTGGCCAGGGCACTATAATTGGGCACAAACTTCTTATAGTACCCTGCTGTCCCCAGAAGAGCTAATAGCTGCTTCTTCATCCTGGGGGTTGGCCACTGGGCCACTGCCTCAATCTTAGCGGGTTCGGGCTTCTGTTGCCCGCACTCCACTCTGTGACTGAGCTACTGTACCTCGGCCATGCCTATATGTCATTTGCTGGGCTTAAGGGTTAAGCCCGCTTCCCTGATCCAATCTAGAACTGCTCCTATATGGGCCGAGTGCTCTTGCCAGGTATCGCTAAAGATGGCGATATCATCTAGATATGCGCAGGTATAGTCTTGGAACCCATCCAGGAGCCGGTCCACCATCCTCTTGAAGGTAGCTGGGGTGTTTTTTATCCCAACCTTAAAGTGGTGACATGGGGTGACAAATGCTGACTTAGAGATGGCTTCGGGGGCTAGAGAATGCTTTCCCATGGACTGGCTAAATGTGCGCGCGGCTCTTGCCGCGCATGCGCATTCAGCCAGTGACATCAGAAGAGGGTGGAGAATCCCAGCGCCGAGGGAGCCGGCGCTGGAAAAAAGGTGAGTGTTTAACCCCCTTCCTCCCCCTTCAGTGCCATGTGAGTGGGAAACTGAGGGTGGGGGCACCCTCAGGGCACTATAGTGCCAGGAAAACAAGTTTGTTTTCCTGGCACTATAGTGGTCCTTTAACTGTTCCATTAACATACTCAGTAAAATATTGTATAAGATATTGTGTTTTATAAATGTAACACTTGTTTAATGTACCTGATGTACTTCCTATATCAATGCTATCTGCATCATATAGGAAAAACTCTCTTTTTGGAATATTTGCTTTGTCTATTCCCATACCTATCAGAACATTATCAATCCACTTGAAGACTACAAAAGTAAGTGATTAATCCTACTGTGCATTATTCTGCTTTATTTTAATATTTTGCAAAGTGACATTTGGCTTCCATGTTTCTTGGCTACAAAAGAATAGTTTGATAAATTCCAATTATATATATAATGAAGATGTTATGGTGCCAGAAGGCCCCCGAAAACACTCTTACCTGAAGAGGTTCATCCATTCATGTACAGTTTAAGCTCAAAGTTCCTGATGTACTTCCTATTTCAATGCTATCTGCATCATATAGGAAAAACTCTCTTTTTGGAATATTTGCTTTGTCTATTCCCATAGGATATTATCATCTACCTATCAGAACTTTATCAATCCCCTTGAAGACTACAAAAGTAAGTGATTAATCCTACTGTGCATTATTCTGCTTTATTTTAATATTTTGCAAAGTGACATTTGGTTTCCTTGTTTCTTGGCTAGAAAAGAATAGTTTGATAGATCCCAATTACATGGGCGATGAAGCTGTTATAGTGACAGAAGGCCCCCGGGAACACTCTTACCTGAAGAGGTTCATCCATTCATGTACAGTTTAAGCTCAAAGTTGCCTCCAGCTCTGTTCTCAACTTCCCCCCAGGGGGCATCCGGCTTTTGGAATTTTAGTTTCAGGAAGTACGGAGTGCTGCCGGGTAAGGGCATGGCTGATTGGCTGAGAACTGTCAGCTGACGCTATCAGCCAACCAGTGACACCCCATTCAAAAAACTGGCTTGAAAAAAGGTACTTTTATTTTCAAGACAGTTTTGTGAATAGAGAGTCACTGATTGGCTGAGAGCATCAGCTGACCGCCATCAGCCATGCCTCTACACGGCGGCACTCCGCTCTTCTTGAAATTTCAGAAGCCGTATTTCGCCTTGGGGGAGTTGGGGTCTGCGCTGGGGTTAAATTGTTCGAGAACAGTTTGATCCCTTGAAGTAAGAGTGGGCCTGAGGACCTCATGGAATCGTAATAACTTAATTTAGATAAAGTTGTTATTGTGCCTCATGGAACCTTAACTGTCCCATTAACACACTCAGTAAAATATTGTATAAGATACTGTGCTTTGTGTTTTAAGTTTATCTTTTCAGCATTGCTGACATCACACCCCACTGGAGAAAAACTAGACTGGTCTGTAATTTTATAAATTAACACTATTGTTAACATGTTCTTAAACGGTTTGATTTCTAACTCTGGGAGTGTGGCAGGGCACTCCTAGCACTATAATCACTACAGTGGTCTGCAGTGTTTATGGTACTTGTCTTGTTTATTTAATGTACCTGATGTACTTCCTATATCAATGCTATCTGCATCATATAGGAAAAACTCTCTTTTTGGAATATTTGCTTTGTCTATTCCCATAGGATATTATCATCTACCTATCAGAACTTTATCAATCCACTTGAAGACTACAAAAGTAAATGATTAATCCTACTGTGCATTATTCTGCTTTATTTTATTATTTTGCAAAGTGACATTTGGCTTCCATGTTTCTTGGCTACAAAAATAATACTTTGATAGATCTCAATTACATGGACAGTTAAGTTGTTATGGTGCCAAGAGGCCCGAGCACACTCTTACCTGAAGAGATTAATCCGTTCTTGTACAGTTTAACTGCATAGTTGTCTCCAGCTCTGTTTTCAACTTCCCCCAGGGGGCATCCAGCTTTTGGAATTTTAGTTTCAGGAAGTACGGAGTGCCTCTGGACAGGGGCGCAGCTGAGTGACTGAGAGCGGTCAGCTGACACTCTCAGCAAACCAGTGGCTCCTCATTCACAAAACTGGTTGAAATTAGGTCCTTTTCTTTCCAAGCCAGCGTTGTGAATTAAAAGTCACTGATTGGCTGAGAGCGTCAGCTGACCGCCTGCAGCCGTGCCCCAGCCAGACGGCATTCCGCTCTTCCTGAAACTGAAATTGATACGCCTGGGGGGACTTGAGATCCTTGCAACTTTTGGGTTAAACCGTCGGAGAACAGTTTTACCCCTTGAAGTAAGAGTGCACCGAGGACCTCCTGACATTATAATAACTTAATTTAGATAAAGTTGTTATGGTGCCTCACGGTGCCTTAACTTACTCAATCTTATCGATACTGTAAGATACTGTATTTTGTGTTTTAAGTTTATATTTTCAGCTTTGCGGACTTCACACCCCACTGGAGAAAACCTAGACTGGTCTGTAATTTTATAAAATGAACACTATTGTTAACATGTTCTTAAACGGTTTGCCTCCTAACTCTGGGAGTGTGGCAGGGCATTCGTAGCACTATAATCACTACAGCAGTCTGCAGTGTTTATGGTACTTGTATTGTTTGTTTAATGTACCTGATGTACTTCCTATATCAATGCTATCTGCATCATATAGGAAAAACTCTCTTTTTGGAATATTTGCTTTGTCTATTCCTGTAGGATATTATCCTCTACCTATCAGAACTTTATCAATCCACTTGAAGACTGCAAAAGTAAGTGATTAATCCTACTGTGCATTATTCTGCTTTATTTTTATTATTCTGCAAAGTGACATTTGGCTTCCATGTTTCTTTGGCACAAAAAGAGTGGTTTAATAAATTATTTATATATAAAATATTTTACCAGGAAAGATACATTGAGATTTCTCTAGTTTTCAAGTATGTCCTGGGTCCACAAAACATTGCATTGATAAAATAGGGTACAATAAAATACAAAAACAATATTAATTCACAATATACACAAAATTTAACATAGAACAGGTAAGAAATATATAAATCCCGATTATATGGAAGGTGTGTTACTGATTTATTGATATCCTTGCATGTTTAATATCTCCTCAAAGGAACAGTCCAATTTACTAAGTATCTTTACATTACAATTCTGTAGTGTTGACAAGGCGTGTTTACAAGGATAATTCGGCCGAGCAGTTCTTAGTAAACCTCTGTATCATTGCTATCTACTGTATATAAGAATGAACCCCTTTTGTTGGATATTTTTGTCTGTTTCCCTTAAGATATTGTCAACTATTTGTTAGAACAGTATCAATCCATCACTCCTAAAAGGAATACTAGCAAAGTAGCATGAAATATTATGCTTTATTTAAGCTATTCTTTTGTAAAGTGACATGCATAGCTAAATCCCAACTACATTAACTGTGTGTTGCTAATTTACTAAGCATCTCTTCGTCACATTTCTGTTAGGTATATAGGTATATACTTTCCTAAGCACATAACAGGAGACAAGCAAGCCAATCTGTTTTGTGGCTCACTATCTGTCAAAGTAAATATGACTATGACAAACACAATATGCGCACACACACATTACACATATATGTTAATTTTCTCAGGATGTGGTTTTAAGGAAGGAATATTGACTGAACAGCTTCATATCTCTTGCAGGAGAACTCAGATCCACCATCTGAAGATACCATTCCAAGAAAAAGCATTTGCAGAACGTTAACTACCAACTACCAATTCCAAATTTAATTGTTCCTTTACCATATAACCTTAGCCCTCTATATCAGGGGAAGTCAACCTTTTAATATCTACCGCCCACTTTTGTATCTTTGTTAATGGTAACATTTCCTTACCACTCACCAGTGTCGCAATAACTATTTTTATAGCTCAAGTGCGATTTTTATTTTTCTTTCTTAGAAAGGAGTTTTTTTAAATATGTACTTAAATGTATCTATTTCCCCCCCCCCTTTTTTTCTATTTTCTATTCTACTTTTTTTTCTGTGCGTCTGTGAATTGCTGTGTGTGTGAAGGGTGCTGTGTGTGTATATGTGTGTGATGGATGCTGTGTGTGAAGGGTGCTGTGTGTGTGATAAGGGCAGTGCGTGTGTGAGAAGGTCAGTGTGCGTGTGTGAGAAGGTCAGTGTGCGTGTGAGGGGGGCAATGTGTGTAAGGGGGAAGTTTGTGTGTGTGCCTTGGTCCACGGCCATCAAAGCCCACTTGGTGTTTTCTGCAGAACCCACTACCGGCCACCTGAAAACCCAAAATACCCACTAGTGGGCGGTAGGGACCAGGTTGACTACCCTTGCTCTATATCATAAACACTTTTTAATGCCTAGAGGGAAGGGCAGTCCTTCAAGCCATGGTTCCCCAGAGGTTTCCTCCACAGGGGGTTTTTCCTCTCCTCCGTGCTTAAGGATGACTTTTTATGAGTGCAGAGGTGCTTTTCAGTTGACCTCTTTTGAGGGTTATTTGAAAATTGAAGATTTCATTTTGATTGATTTTTAAAGTAATTCTTAACTTGAAAGAAAACGTATTTTTATAATAAATTTTTAGTTAACTTCAAATGAATGTTGTATGTGACCCATACTTAATGAATTTATTAATTGCATCATATAATTTATATGCTTACCTTTTTGCTACTGAAATTCTTTAATTTAGAACCTATCCATATATGTAAAGGACTTCTTTGAGGAAAAACTAATTTAAATGCTCCTTATTCTGACATAAAACAATATCAGGATTTGAGGATTACTACCTAACCCCAAATTGTAGTTAACTGGAATCTAAATTACAAAAATGGAAAATAATAATAAACCCCTTAATGTTATGTAGGAAGTATCTATCAACATAATTAATTATTAAGAAAAAACAGAACTGAACTGATCTCTTTCCAAAGGTGCACTTAAATGTAGTACTTTTCATACAGGGCAGGTATTGCGGATATTGAGGAACGAAATCTGCAAATTCCCTAGTGTCAAGTTAAAAAAAAATATATATTTTTTTAAATCAATTTGCTATGACGAAAGATGTTACAGCATATCTGCAGTCTGGATCGCTGGGGTTAACCTCATAAGCCTGTAAAACGCCAAAAACGGGAAGTGGGTTTAAACAGGCCCGACTGATTAGGAACAGGTGGGTGTTAAAATAGACTGACAGTAGTTTTAAAAATGTCATTCATTGTAGACACTTCAGAAAAAGCTGTGACTACCTAAATTCAGTATCACATGGATCTATTTATGGGTAGAATTGTCTTTCAGTATGCCCAGTAATGAAATATCAAATTGTTATAGCTTGTTGGATTCTCTGAACTTGAAATATAGCCAATTGAAGATGTCAAAGAGAACATCTCACTGTATTACCTGGCACATTTGGATGATGGCAATTTGAAGGCAAAATAATTCACTGAAAACGATACTCCTTTGTTAGCAACACAAGGCATGCAAGATTTGGGTTTCTGAATTGTGTATTCTCTTGAATCAAATGGGAGAGCAGGTAAAGAGAGAGCCCAAACTCACACCTGCATCCAAAGTGTATAGTTTTTCTTGTTTCATCTGTGTGCTCTGTTTTGACCAAGGTAAGTGCTGGCATAGCAACATAAAGTAATCAAGTGTAGACAGCCAAGGTCTTAACTATATACAAAATCATCAGTTTCATATCATCATCAGACCCAACTTCACGGAAGTAATAAGCCACCAGCAAAGCACATTAAACCATCGGTAGTCCACCCAACCGCATAGAGAAGCTTCCAACATATTTTCTACAAATATTCCTTGGAATACAGCTTGACATAGAAAATAGTTGAGTTTATATTATTTAAACAAAAAACACAGCACAGCAATCCAGGAGAGCCCAAGACCATACACAAATTCAAGAGCTGCGAAAAGCAGGCTGAGTGCTGGAATACCAGGAGACCAGACTGTATAAATCTAATGGTTCTGAATTTAACTACAATACAATAGCTCTCTCTTTAAGGGACACTGTAGATACTCCAACACTTTAATTTCACTGAATTGGTTGTAGTTCCTGGAGTCCCCTTAAATGTCCATCCTTTGGGTGTTAAAGCATTTGTGACACTAAAAAGGAGTCCCTGGCCACCCACAGTCCAGACCCTACTGGCGGTTTGACTAACGCAGAGATTACACACTTCCTTCTAACCATATAAACTCATACCGACAGTGGGCCCTCTGATAGGCTAAAAGCAGGAAAACCTGCCGAGCACAGCCATCCATTGCAGCTCAGGCTAATACTTACTCATTGGTCCAGGCAGCACAAAGGAGATGGGTTGCTGGGGACTCTCGTTTAGCATTAAGTATGGTTTAACACTAAATGGAAGGACAGCGCTAGGGGACTCAAGACATTTTAACCAATGGAATGAGATGTAGCAGGTACAGTGTCCTTAGTGTGCATTTAATTTAAGGTAGGATGCCCAATAGGTAAATCTCCTGATATGCTACAACTAAAACATCTAATATGCTCCAACGATTCCAAGGCTGGCAAAGTATCAAGGGAACTTAAGTTCTACATCTAGGAATTGACCTTTCAGGCACAACTGATGTAAGGGTTCTGATAAGGTTAAATAAACGATTTCAGTCTTGCCTCGTTCCAAGGGTAGGTTCACTTGTTGATCTACCTAACACCTTAGAGGTTACATTGCTGTACGGTGGAAGTACAGTAATAGTAGTATTTAGAAAGAAGGTTCTTTTCTGGTAGCTTTTTCAAAATGAGTTAGCTCCCTTACCTGCAGTCCAGTTCTTAAAGACACTATTCTCTGGTGGTCCATACTGCTCAGTTAGCATTGGCATGGCTCTAGAGAACTGCTTATTAAAAGGACACTGTTACTGTGTTGGTTATGGTACCTTTAGTGTTCCTTTAAAGTTTAGGTTGCAATGACTGCATGGATTTTCATTGGCCCTGCAAGGAAACAAAATAAAATATCTCTTGGCTTTTTTCAGTTCTCACGTTCACCGAGTACTGTATTATAAATAAACAAAGAAATAACAAGAGTCTCAAAATTAAGATAACAAACATATGCAGGGAAGCATAAACAAGTTAGAACAAATAGGAAAACAAAAGGACAGAATTAAAGAAATATCCTCGGGCTATGGAAAGATGGTCAAAGAGAAAGTTTGAAGATAGAAAACCTGGGAAGAATGACAGAAGACCATAAAGATGAGGAACAGAAATTCCCCTGGACCCTCACCAACCTTGACGGTACCCAATATAAATCTAAATTCTTCTGTTTGAAGGTGAATGGTAATTCCAACAAGTTTCCCTTGGATCCTTTTAATCACCTGGTTCATTAGAGTATCTTACAAAGAAGTAACCAATGGATGCACATCATTCCGGTCAATTTTATGTGTCTGCAGGCTAACCATCAGAATTGTCTGGGCCCTTTACAAATCCGATGTTTAGGTTCCACAACACACACAGGCTACCGGACAGAGACACACTCACAGAAATACTCCGACACATGCTCGCAGATAGAGATACACACATAAATACACATCAATATGCATCTCAGACAATTGCAGGATACACACCCAGATATACTCTCACAGACGCACACATGGATACACAGGTACAGCTACAGGCTGCAAGCCACACACTCTTAAATACAAACAGGGAAATATACATTGCTGTACACAGACATACCAGTACTAAACACACACTCTACCAACCCAACACACACATACACACTGCAACACATACATACTGCACTCTGATACACACTCACTTAGCTATACATATATACATTGCTAAACACATACACTACTACCTGCACACAGTTACCCACATCATTATTGATATTTTATTAAGCCACACTCCTTTTTTTTTTTTTGAATTTGACAATTTTTATTGTACAATGCAACGAGATACAGTTATGACAAATCAATGTGAATCATATGCAGACAACACAATCCAACACTTCACTGCTTGTTGTTACAGACATTGGGTAGTTTGTTTTTGTTCTCCCATTTCCCTCTAAGGGGCCACACTCCTTTTTAGTTACCATATTGCAGCTGGATGGTTACACCCCTGTGATCCAGTGGGGATCAGACTGATAAAGGATTGCAGGTTGTTCTTCTCAAGTCCTGCGTGACTTCTAAACACCCTGGAAGGAAATTACCAGATTTTACTAATTATATGACGTAAAGTCATGATTTTATTAAGGACACGGAGGCGAGTATTTGGCTTATCTCTTTCTTTTATTCCTCAGCAGCAAAGAAAGTTAAGGTACCTATGATATAGAAAAAACTATATACCTAAGCAAGTAATTACTATACATCTGTTAAGCTCGTAAAACCAAACCTTAAAGATGTTAATTCGTACACTTATATCCACATTTATTACGTACCTGGTTTGGGATACAAATTTTTCGAGTGTATCCGATATGGGTGGGCTAATACTCGCCTCCGTGTCCTTAATAAAATCATGACTTTACGTCATGTAATTAGTAAAATCTGGTAATTTTATTAAAGGGCATGGAGGCTCTTATTAGGCTAGTTCAAAGCTGTGAAATAACCATAGATGAAACATGTTCTGTAGGTCGAAATAATGTTCTCTAAACGTAGATTCACGGACCAATCTGCTGTTCTAAGAAGGTCTTCCAGTCTACAGCCCAAATTGAAAACCTTTGAAGCCATGGCTGCTCTAGCAGAGTGAGCACCATAAATAGATGTATCTATTTTTGCCAAAGTCATGATCCATGTCACCCATCGGCTAGCGTCACTGTAGATACCAAGTGATGAGGTATTTAGGTAGCCAAAAACAACTCCTGATGTCTCGGACTCCTGAATCCCAGGGTTCGTTTTTTGTATTCTTGTAGACAAATCACCAGGCAGAGATTAACATTTTGTGGAAATGCAGGATAGGAAACCGAGGTAATCGATGATTTCGTACGTCTGGAAATGTTGAATGACACTCCCGTAGGGGTAAAGGAGTGTGCCTCTGTGTTCAATGCCCGAACATCTGAAACCCTTTTGCAAGATATCAGGCTTAAAACTGTTTAAGCGTGAGTCCCTCGTTCTGTGGCCAGGATTCCAATAAACGGAGTACCAGGTTTACATCCCACAACGACGTGTATCGAGGCTGGGGTGGTCGAGCAAATTTTATCCCTCGTATGAGTCGGCACACCAGCAGTTGTTGACCCACCGGAGTGCCATCTAGACCCCGATGGCCAGCAGAGATCGCGGGTCTATAGACGTTAATGGTATGGTAAGTCAACCCTTGGTTATATAGATTGGTAAGGAAACGTAACCTGTAACTCACAGGAGCACGTACAGGATCCACCTGTTCCATGCACCAACTAATCCATCCGTTCCAGGCATAGTGGTAGGATCGTCTTGTTCCAGGTGCCCATGCTCCTGCCAGTAGGTCAAGAGTGTCTTGTGGAACATCTGGTATGACCCAGGGTCCCTGGAAAGTAACCACGTTAAGAGTCTGAGGTTCCTCTGAATCAGAAGGGGGTGTGGATTGCCCTCTGGATCCAGTAAAAGGTGTGAGACATCGGGTAGTAATCTTGGAAGGTCGATGGACATCTCTGAGGGATGGGAACCAAGGTTGAGCAGTTCGGAATGGAGTTATGAGGACCAACGATATCTGAGTGCGTCTGAGATGTACTAGTGTCCGCGCCATGAGGGCGAAAGGAGGAAAAATGCATACAATTGACTTCTCGGCCATTGTCAGAGGAAGGCATCCGCTGCTAAGGCGTCTGGGTCTGGTCTCCAGCTGAAGAAGGTTGGTTATTGGGAGTTCAAACAAGATGCAAAAAGGTTGATGGACCCAGGTTTTGAAGAAGGGCCAGCGCCCAGGAGAGATGTTGACTCAAGCGTTGAGAGGTCGTAGGTTGATTACTGGTCTCGTACCCCCACCTTTCTTGGGTACCAAGAAGATGTTGCTTAGGAAGCCGGGGGTGGTAGCTGAGACCTTGTATATTGCACCTTTCTCTTTTAATGTGCGAATCTCTTCTGCTACTAGACTTTTGTCTCCTGGGGAAAACACAATCCGATGTGCTAATGAGAATTGGATTGGTTGTTGTACGAATTTGATGTGGTAGCCTAGAACGGTCTCTAGGACCCAGACATCTGAAGTTAGTTTGCACCATGCATCGAGAAAATGAGACAATCTGCTCCCCTCATATGATAGGGGAAGGGTGTGTAACCGACGGCCCTAGGAGGATCCCCTGGTTCCGCGTGGGTGCCACGACCTGATCCTGGTTGGGAAGAATGGTGATGGTACTCTACAAAGTCCGGGAGGAGCGGTCAGATAGATGGCCCCGCTGTCTGCCGGCCCCACCGAAACCTTCTGTGTAAACACTCACTTCATACTATTCTGTGCCTTGTCTAGTGCTGTAAACGTGTTGACATATTTGCCCAGAGTTTTAACGAAATCGTCACCGAATAGGAGACCTTTTGCTTGTGTGCCAGGCTCAGATATTGGTTTATTAGTTGAGGCTCAATTTTTTATTAATATGGCTTTACGCTGTTCAGTGGCAAAAGCAGTGTTGGTGTTTCCAATCAGGCAAATGCCGCTCTGGATCCATCCCCTGATGGCCAATAGATCTATTGGGGTCCCCTCAGTTAGGGCTGTTTCGAAAATCTTGGCTATAGGCCAGAGTATGTCCAGGACCTTGTCCTGACAATTTCTTAGAGAATAGTCCAGCCCCTTTTTGGCCTTCCATCCCGGTTTAACAAGAAAACTGTCTTGGGATCCACTTCGGGGGTCACGCGGCCATGTCTGGGACCGTGTAGGGCGTGGGCATTCCGCCCTCAGTTTACTCCTCGTGGCCTTATCGAGGGTCTTCCTCACCCTGTTTGCTATATAAATGGCCACATGGGTCGTGGGGTACCAGTAAGCCGAGCAAGGGTTATGCAGGGCATCAGGGTCAAAAAGGGGTTTCCCTTGGGGATCTAAGATGGCGGATTTGTCCGCCTCCTGCTCAGCTTCTACAGCTGGCGGTGCAGCCTCACTGCGTTCAGGGGAAGAGTCCTCCGAATAAACTGGGTCGATGGCATCGGACCTGTCTGAAACCTCCTCTGAGTCCGAATCAGAGTCAGACAAATCAGGTAGGGCTTTTGCCCTCTTCCAATTCCGCACCGCTTTTGCCTGGTGGGGGGCTCTTTTACGTGGGAGCACCACGTCCTCAGTCTCAACAGGGTGCAACCTGCCCGTCATACTAGTTTTGGAGGCAGTACTTATTAAATGATGTGATTTACTCGTAGCCTTGCGGCCGCTAGGGACCATCGGCTTGCTATCAGAGGCCATAGATGCCTGATGCCATGATAGTGGAGGAGATAGAGTGGGACAAGGTGTCCGACATCACTCCCATGGCATTGTAAATGGCCTGTGTAACAGACTTGATCATGGTCGCATCACAGTTGTGCAGTATCTGCTGGGCATAGTAGAGGTGTTAGGAGCAGTAGCCTGTCTGTCAGAAAGGGATTGCATAGTGGCTAGGTACTGTGTATATACAGGGACAATACCAGATGAAATATGGCACAGAGGAACTATGGCACAGGTCAGAATGGCACCACTTACAAGGTACTAAGGCACAGAGCAAGAAGGCACAAATAATATGGCAGCTTACCAAGTGTTCCTTCAGGAATGGCTCCTGGGGAACACTGGTAGACTGCCTGAACCCCAACCAGCCCTTTAGCTCGCACCCCCCTCTGTGAACGAGCGGCGCCAGCGGCGGGAGAAAAATGTGGCAAAATTGCCAACCACAAGCTGGCTGCCGCGATGCGCAGGAGCAAACCACGCATGCGCGGGTGGTCCAGGTAACGGCTTTTATGGCCGTGATTTTGCGGGCGGCTGGGGGCTCGGTCTGAGACGGGGGCATCCCCCAAGTGGTGGGGAAAAAAGAAAAAACGGGTTATAAACAACCCGACCGGCAGTGCAAGGGGGAGGCTTGCCCCAGGGGAGGGACAAGGACCCTGCACTGAACTATGAAGCACCACAGTACAAATACATAATACAGGCAAATAATGTACTAGGCAAGAATAATAGTATTAACCAAAGGTAGTAATAACAACAGAAAAAACAATAAAATAATATTAAGGGTAAAATAATACTAATAAAACAGTAAATTACAATACAATTTTTAAGAGCAGAAAAATTATGAGGTACTTAGCTGAGGCAGCAGCAAAGAAAGAGGAAGAGGGGAGGTAATATTAGGTGCCCATGCTGTTACAGATATTACAGATGGACTGCTCCCATAGGCTGGAAGGTAATGATGATGTAATGTGTTAACCCAAAATAATAATAATAACCCTGTGGGGTATTTCTACAGTTTTTCCTATATCATAGATACCTTAACTTTCTTTGCTGCTGAGGAATAAAAAAAAGAGATAAGCCTAATAAGAGCCTCCGTGTCCTTTAATAAAATTATCACTTCCTCCCAGAATTGCTGCACAGGGTTGAATTGGGGGCTTGGGTAGGGATAACCAGGAAACAATTCTGAATCATATTAACCTTTCGATCTCTACTTTATTACTTAACATAGTGTCAGGGTCCACAAAACAGGTAGAGCAGGGATGAGCGAAAAATTATACATCTGATATAAGGTCAGATCGGAGTTAAGGCCCTAGTGATTTGTAATAGAAAGGAAAAAAAATAATCTAAGAATAACCAAGTGTTGGTAAATAACAAGAGAAATAAAAAATATGAGCATCTTTCACAATTATGGCATACAAATAAACAATTGGCCATTTAATGTCTTTTGCAATCCTTGAGCAATAGGAATTAGAAGTTATATAGAATTTGCATTATAATTAACAACAATCTAATATCAGTTATATCTCGTCATGCAAAATATTCCCTTATACTGAATCATGTTCACTTACAGCATCGATGAACTTACTACTGTATCTTTATAAACATACGTATATAAGTACCCTGCACCCTTTATGGTTCTCCCTTGCACCCATCCCTCTGTCTCCCTATAAACGCCCCCTCTCCCTTTCTCTCTCTTGCTTCTGCACACAGCAATGCCCCAGAGCGCGAGGAAGCTGTCAGTGTGAACTGTAGCGCGGTCACCTCGAATCAGGGCACTGGAGCGAACAGGAGAAACACTAATTGCCAAGGCTGTGGGGAGGGTTCAAGGAGAAGGGAGGGAGTGATGGCATGGGGGGTAGAACTATAGCCTCAGGTTATAAGTTTCAGACATTAATGTAGTCATATAAAGCCATCCCACACACAGCCGTGTTTACAGTGCCGTGATTCTTACAACCTAATGACAGTGGAAGGCAATGATAGAGGTAGATTGCCGAGCCCAGAGTGAGACATCTAAATCTCCTCATTAGACGACACAGATTGCAAGCGTTAGAACAGTATTCAGTAATTTTTTTTAAATAAACAGACCCTTCTGCAGAACATCTAAGGGATTTATACTAACAAACTAAAAAATAACATATACTGGGGATATACCAATTCACATTTTGTGAATTATAAGAAGAGTTGTATCATTAAATGCTTCAATAAGTCATTAGAACAAAGGCCACACTATAGACAGTAAAAAAAATGCAAGTTAGGAAGGTGCACAGGATTCTGTAGAGGGAAGGAGGCAGCACAAATTCTGCAGAGGTGCCTTAGAAAGCACATGGTTTTATAAGGGGGAAGGAGTGGGCAAACAATTATTCAAGTAGGTGGAAGGGTGCATTTTGTTGTGTTGGAGGTTCTGTTAATGGAAGGTGGGAGTATATGTCCTACAAGGGGAAAAGAGAGAGCACACGATTCTACAAAGGTGAACGTGATTCTACCATGGTAAAGGACACGGTTCTATGTGGGTGAAGGATTGAGCACACTGTTAGGGAGCACAAGGTTCACCAGGAGTGAAGGATGGAGAACAAAGGTAATTCGGGACGAAGGAGAGAGCACATGGTTCTACAGTGGGGATGAGGGTGCACACATTTCTACCGATTTGCAAGAGGAAACACACAATTCTATAGCATGGATGGAGTGAGCAAATAGTTCCCTTGGAGGGAGGACAAGGTTCAGCAGGCATGAAGGAGGGAGCACAAGGTCATTAGGGGTAAAGGAGGAAGTACATGGATCTTTGGGGAGTAGTGGAGGGAGTTCGAGGTTATTTTGAGGAGGGAAGACTGGGTACTTTGAGGATGAAAAAGGGAGGACAAGGTCCTTCGGGGCAAAAGGAAGGAGGACAAGGTACTTTGAGGCTGAAGGAAAGAAGACACGGTTCTTTGATGATGAAGGAGGGAGTACAAGGTTCTTTGGAGGAGCAAGGACAAGGTACTTTGGGGCGAATGATGGAGGACAAGATTCTTTGAGGATGGAGGAGGAAGAAGAAAAGGGTACTTTAGGGCAGAAGGAAGAAGGCAAGGTTCTTTGATGATGAAGGAGGAAGTGCAAGGTTCTTTGGAGGAGCAAGGACAAGGTACCTTGGGGCGAATGATAAAGGACACGATTCTTTGAGAATGGAGGAAGGAGAACAAGGTACTTTGGGGCAGAAGGAAGAAGGACAAGATTCTTTGAGGATGAAGAAGGGAGTGTAGTGCAAGGTTCTTTGGGGAATGGGGGGGCGGGGGGAAGAAGGAGCACCTGATTCTACAGGGGATTGATGATGACCAACGTTCTGCAGTAGGGATTGAGGACGCACAAGGTTCTCCCACTGGAAATGAGTGGAACAGTGACAAATCTCAACTTCCCTAGCTCTGGCAAAATTAGTAGGAATATTCTTTTTATCAAAACGATCTGGGAAGAAGTAAAAATGATTGTAAACAAAATCATAAAATGTGAAGTAAAAATACAGATGTCTGTCTCTAACTCGTTAGTAAATAGTGTTCCAACAATGTAACAACGTGTGCACTAGCTGACAACTAGATTGAGATAAATGATATGATTATAATCATAATAATACCAGCACCTGCATACAATATTATAAAATATTGAAGTGTACAATAATACTGCATTAAGGGCACACCAAAAAGGCCAATGAGAACTAAACTTGGCACCCCATGTCTGTTTCCATTCATCTTTATTTCCCACAATGCTCAGCAAAGCTGGAGGATCTAGTAATCTTCTAAAATAAACTAGAATGCTCCCCTACATTAAAAGAATGAAGGCTCCAGTATTTCCATACATACACGTTTTTAGTTCTCTATTACTGTAAAGGGACAAGACACATTGAAGCAAACTCTTACTATAAAGGAATAGTTGTTCTGTCATGCTCAATGAATTAAACAAAAAGTCTTCCTACCTACCCTCGTAAAGTAAAATAATTCCAGTACTCTTCAACAGCAGGGGATCAAAATGTTCTAGTGTTACCATGGAGTAAAAAAGAAAAAAAAGAAATAAGATATAAAGGTCGGATGGCCTCATAGAGATAAGCAATAAAGAATGGCATTTAAAAAAAAAAAAATTAAATTCAAATTCCAACACATGTAGCTAACTACTACACGCTCTGCTTTTTAAAATGAAATTGTCACTTAGGATTTTTAATATTATGTTTACTTATACCTATATTTAACAAATATGTATTTGTAAGGCGTGAACAAAACAATTAAATGTAGAAATTCACATATCTTTATCCGACAATTGTTATAAACTCTATCCATTGCATCTGGCAGTCCGTATAGCGAAGGCATAAGAAGACGAAGAGAAACTAACCAATGTTTCTATTTATCCTTTTCATTTGCAATGTTTGTCCCAGCTTTGCCTCGACAATTGGATTATGAGGTCTAAAACTTAAATATAAATTTAAAAGAAAATGAGGCATCTCATGAAAAGAAGGTTAACATAAGTTATAGGCGTTTAACGGTGCAAATTCTGGACAAGTGACAGGTCCCCTTTAACTTTAAATGCAACTATTGCATCAAAGTCTAACTTTATTGATCGTGGGTTATTGTGCGAAATAAACAGTCAAGATGAAGTGGTCACATGCAACAAACTATACAAGGTTTGCATTAGTAGAACTCAACTGACATTTTGGAGGTATTTTTACAAGAACTGTTGCTTAATCATTCAGTGAAAGGTGTAGTGTAAGATTGTTTTCTTATGCAAGTGATATAAACATATTTTAAACAAAATATAGTATATTTTTACAACCCCACCTAATGCTAAACAAGGAAACAGGAGGCCACACCCTATAACCCACAAGTATCAACCTTAGTGTCCCGGAAAGGTGCAGTTTAACAGTGAAAACATTTTCACTTTGTGCCCCTTGATGAACTACTGGAGTGATTAGCAAAAGTATCAGCAGTTTCACAAATCAATGTCACTCATTGGTG